TCAACCTCTTTACTCTTCTTACTAAGGAACGGTTGGAAGGTTTTTTCCCACTCCTTTGGCTTTTGTTTAAGTTCGTCAGATTTCCTGCTCCAGTATGCCTTGATGGCTCCTCGCCTCTCTTTTGTGGCACGGTTCCTCCAATTTCTTTTGAGCTCCCAGTTTTCAGGTGTGCGATTACGAGCAAACATGTGCGCATACTTTCTCCTTTGTTTTATCGCCCTTTTCCATTCTTTGCTCATAAACGGTATGTCCTTTTCATTAATTCTCATCTTCTTTTTCGGCATGTGTTGATCTATTACACTTTCGAAAGCTGTATTCCACATGTCGTACTGATCATCAGCAGACTTACAAATCTCTAAAACATTCCAAGGAGCTTGAAGTAGGTCCTCGTTTAATCGGTCGCCACAACATTTTAAGGATTTTTTTGCTACAATCTCTCCGCATTAGAAAGGTCGTCATGGAAAATTTTCAACCTTTTTGCAAGTACCCCTCATTTAATTACGACGTAAACATTGTCAGCTGAAGGCCTAACATGAATTTATCACTAGCGCTTTTTATTTGGGTAGGACCACTTCTTGCGGCTCAGGTAAAACTTGTGCAAAACATATGCATAAACAATATTTGATAATCTTGTTTTGGCCTTGTGGTTGCTCATTTTGCAAAGGTTGAAAACACCACCAAGTTATATTTACCTTCTGTGTAGATTCAAAAACGTTGCAAAGGTGTTTTGCTATGTTTGATTCCTTACCTAACTTTTTGTGCGTGTTTGCCTGACTACTGCCCCTGTCAGTTTTGAATGGGGTGAAAAAAATCCGGACCGCCTGTGATTGTGACGCGCCTATAAGCTATCCCTGACGAGTACGACGAAGGAAGCAATTAAATATTTAGCTAACTACTAGTTTATTATCGCTTTTTAGAAAATCACTATAGCTAAAATAATAAAAGTGCACTCCAATCGAGGTATCAATGCTAATTATACCACTTTTGCGTGTGTTACAAAGTTGTTGTCTTCTAATGCAATTTGCCTTCCGTTACATGGAAAAGTGGGGGGAGGGGGGTAGTAGGAGGGGTGGAAGAAATTAAATAATTCTTGTTGGGTAAGTGCCGCTGGCCTCTTAAAATTCTCACCTTATTAGAGTCTATTTTGTGACCATCTATGGACCCCATCACTTTTACTCATACTTGCAAAAATTTTGAACTGCACATTTTCCAATTTTTTAATCCCAATTATCACAAGTTTGGTAAACCTAATGTCCCAAAAAAAATGTTTCTCTTATTAATGGAAGCTAATAGCTGCTGTCAAACAAAAACAACAAAAAAGGATTGTTCTTTTGATGAGTAACATACGCACTTGCATCGTACATAACCTCTTCCACGAGGAAAGAAAAGGTGTACAGCTAGCTGTTTACAAAAAGGTTGTCGGAAAAACCGCAAGCCATGTTAAAGTATCCGTTTCTTTGCCTCTAAAAGTTCTTCATTGATTAATTATTTATGTTTAAACGGTACTTTGCCGCTACAATTTGGTGTTTACTTTCTACTCACAACTATGGACTAGCCTTTCTCTGATGAAATGCCATTAACAACGTAAATTTTATAACAATCCTACCTCAATAAAGAAAAAAATTTCGCAAGGAACGTTATGCTTCTGTTGGTCAATTTTCTATGCAATTCTCGCGTGCTTGGACATTTTTTTACAAATAAATTTCGCTTTTTGCAACCTTAGACTTCACCTTATCACGTGTCAATTTCTTTCAAATAACATGCATTTTATCATGTATTTCACACCCTCAGGGAAAAGGCCAGATAGGCAACAACCAAATAAGGAGCCTACGTTGTTACGCCTTGAAACATGATAGTTGTCTCTTCATTCAATCTATTTTCACTTGTTTGAAGAAGGGAGACAGAAAAGTATCTTTGTTCAGTGATTGTTAGAGATGAAATAGAGTCTTTGGTTTGCTTTCCTTTGTAAAATTACTTTGAAAATACTTTTTGGGGCAACTAGCTGTAACTGAATAATGAAGACTGTCTCTGATGGAGAGGAACAGCAGTAAGGATCGTCGTAACCTATGAGCAATCATTGCTTAGTCTTGTCACGCAACGTGGGAGAGAGGGCGTTGCGTGACGAGACCAAATTTGGGCTGTGGAGGAGACTGCAGGAGGCGTGGTACCTATCCAAGTTATTTTTGCCAACAATGCTTATGTTTTATACCTAGGGGGGAAAATAAGATCAAGTTTGTAAAATGCCCACACCGAGTGAAACTCATTGTACACGGTACAAGATAAGGATAAGTTACGTTACAATAATCCTTATATTGTGAGGACGTCGACAATTAAACTTTAAGCATGAAGTTCCTTCCATAGCATAGAACAAAATATCAATCAAACACAAAAACAAAAAATAAACACGCAGTCAATTTTCAATCAACTACGCTAGATAACTACCGTGAGGATTCGAATTAGTGCCCTCCTTAAAGTAAGCGCCCCCTCTCTCAGAAGCGCCCCGTCACATTAGACTTTTTTAATGAGCGCTCCTATTCTAACAAGCGCTCGTATTGAAAAGGTACTCGCGTTCCATTAAGCACCCCAACACGAATAGGCGCCCCTATTCTGAATCACTAATAGCATTGTTTACATTGAGATCAACCGTGGTCCGACTTCCATTAATTGCTCACGTAAAGCCTCAAAACAGAACCAATGGTCTTTGTGTCCGTCTTTCAACTGTTATTTACAGTTCATTCATTGCGTGACGATTGCAGCTTAGCTGATCGTTCTAGCCAGGACCAGTCAATGGAAATAATCTGTCATTTTTCAGTCTTTTTAATCCTTTTGAAAAAGGTAGGTTTGTCTCGCGCATTTTACTGTTTCTCAAGATGGATATAAGCGCTGTGTACCCATCCCCAGGTTTCACTGTCCCACCATCATCAAAAAATTTTCAAAACAAATAAAGGAAAGAATCAAAGGGACAAAACAAGATAAATATTCGAACACTCTCGCCAAGATTCAGGTCTGTGCAATGTTTTGTGCGGGCGATATTCGAAAAAAGGTTTCTGGTGCACAAAACCTGTAGTCTTCTTCTGAGGGCTCATAAACATCTAAATGACTACAAATTCTCACACAAGGACTGTTCAGATTAAGAAATCTCAACAGATAAGTGAAGGTATCGATTCCATAGTTAGTGCCAAGCGTCAGTCCCCCTAAGTCTATGGACGAGGACCTAAAACCTATAACCCCAACTGGCCAGATATCTAAAGTCATGGAAGGTTTCACAAGAGACTCATTACTTAAGCAGGTTAGCAATAGCCTTGACTGTAAACATTTTTCTATTGGTGGAAAATTAACAATCCATGCATTAGTCTATTTTGTGCATTTAATACTGATGTTTCTTGATTGTCCTGGAAATTTTATTGGAATATTTATTTGCAGACTTTAGTAAAGGATTTTATCCTGCTGATCATAGTAAGTTACAACTTGAGCTTCAACATCTGGGTGTGAGCAATGTCTTAATTAGTCAAATGGATCTATGTTTTCCTTACCAGCAGATCTTAGATTGTTAGAATCAAAGGGGCCTTATCTGCCCCCGTCTATCCTCATGGCCGGGTATCCCCCAAGAGATAAAGCTAGCCCCATCCTTTTTGTTGCCTTGGTTAATAAGCTGGCTGACAATTGGCATCTGCGCACTAAATATGTGGATGACACAACTGTGATTGAGTGAATATCCAGATTTAGCCCAAGGTATCTCTTGTTTGTTGTTCAGGACATTGTGGTTATGCTACTAGCCGAGGTATGCAATGAAATCCCAAGAAATGCAAAGGAATGGTTGTCAACTTTCTTGAAAACCAAGCTATGGTTCCAGATACCCTTAAGATACTAGGTAATGACATACGGAAAGAGTCTCAAGCTCCAAGGGACATATATATCTAATGACCTAAAGTGGAATTAGCATGTTGAGTATATTGTTTGAAGTGCTAATAAGAGGGCGCATGCCTCAAGATTACTTAAGAAGTCAGAGCCCCAATCTATCTATCTTTCATTCCACTAATTTATTCGTGTTTTTCTCGTTGCCATGTTCCCACCAATAACGTAGCTCCATTTTCTGCCTTTAAAAGCACGCACAACCCACAATTCCTCAATTCGCTCCGACGAAGGGCTAGCGTTCGAAACGTCAGGTTTTGTAATCGTTACGGTGGCCAATTTACCATTTCAACTTTGTTGATATATCCAAATTATATCTATCTCTCTATCTGTCTATCTGTCTATCTTTTCTTCAACCTACCTGCTAGTATGTTAATATCGTGTCAAGAAAAACCCGATCAAACTGAGAATTTGTAAAAAGATAAGAATTTAACTGTTCTATTAAATCTCATATAGATTGATAATTCCTTATTTCTAAATTTGATGACGTCACGTGAAAACCAGAATTAAATCACTTGGTTCAAAAAAGTGCTCTCCCTTGATGTGTCGAAAGTACACTAGCGCCCCAGACGCTAAATCAAAATTTTATGGTTTGCTCAATTCTCGACTTTTGTCACGCAGAATGGCTGGACATCATCAGTTATTCGTCTATAACTCAAACTTAAGAAAGGAAAGTTCAAAGAAGTATAAAGACTTCGTAACCTTTGGAAATGACGAAAAAAACGAACAGTTTTAGTTGACGGCCTATTTCAAAAGCGATCTGTTTTCACAACGAACTTAAGGGACCCACACAACATTTCAACCACAATCATATGTGATGCTTGATATTCTTTCGGGGAAAAATATTGCGTGACGAGTGGGTACACGTCCATTGAGAGACAATGAATTGAATAAATGATCGAACAAAAAAAAAATTAATATTACTTAACTTAGTAATTGCATTAATGGTGAGTAATTTTAAGGATCAATCTACAAGATTGTAACTTTTCCATGTCCTTTTTGTAGATGCAAATTTACCTCCAATGAAAGGAAAAAACTATAACAATTATGGTTATAACGATGTAGATAACTTAACTCTTCCCTTTCAGCTTTCAAAGCCGTTTTTACAAACCTCGACACCAGTGGAAGAATTGGTCCAACAACGCTGGGCAGTCACTACACAGGACAGGATCATGACGGACAGGTTACGCTGTCCAGCGGCGTTCAACAGTGGACTGTGCCGTACACTGGTGATTACAGAATAAAAGCAATAGCAGCTGCTGGAGGGTACGATATACAAACTAACAGTATTCAGTACCAAGGAAGAGGAGCAAGAATGATAGGAACGTTCCGCCTAAACAAGGGTGAAGTCATTCAGATACTTGTTGGTCAAGAAGGAGGAATAAACACGGAATTATATTCTTCTGGAGGTGGTGGAGGAACGTTTGTGGTGAGAGGAGCCAACACACCTTTGATAATAGCTGGAGGCGGAGGAGGGGTAAATAGAGCTAAGTCAAGACAAGAAGGATGTGACGCCAGTACAAACACAGCAGGGAATCGAC